TTTTTTTTTTTTTTTAATGTGTGTACATACTGCATTACACCATCTGCAGAAACCAACCTCAGACCAGAACAATCTATAATTCATTCAATTCCCTTACTTTGCATTTCTTTTATGAAGTCTTTAGCAGTTTCCAACTCGCCCATCTTGGAAATATGACTTGCCAGAATCCCATAAGTATCAACATTCGGAAAGATACCTTCTTCTTTCATTTTATAAAATATTGAAAGAGCCCTTTCCACATCTCCTAATCTACAATACCCATGTATAACCAAATTATATAAATGTGCATCCAGTATAAAACCCTTCTGGTGCATCTCCAAAACAATCTTTTCAGCTTCTTCAATCTTCCCACAACTCGAAAACCCGTCAACCAAGAACTTGAATGTCTCCATATTCATATCCACACCTACCCATTTCATCAAATTCGAAATCTTCTCCAGCTCCTCAAATTTCCATCTTTTTGTGCATGCATTCACCAGTATGTTATATGTAATAACATTGGGCTTTATTCCACTGCTCACCATCTCGTCCACCAATTCCCTAGCCCTATTTATCTCTCCATTCTTACACAAACCATCAACCACAACAGTCAGCGAGAATACAGAAACCTCGATACCCATATCCACCATTTTGTAAAAGAATTCCAATGCTAATTCCAATTTATCACATTTTATTAGTTCAATTAAAATAATCGTGCAAGTTTTTTCATCTATCTGAATCCCATTATTTTCCATGAAATTGAAAGTGTTCACAACTTCTTTGAATCTTTGACTATCAGAATACACTTTGAGCATCATATTAAATATCTTTATAGAAATCTTGGATTCGCCACATTGATTCCGAATGCAAGAAGCTATAACAGGAAAAGGGTACCTGAGCTTTTCATCCTTAGAGACAAATCCCAATAGACGCTCAGCATCTGTGAATTTTCTTTCTTTCACCAGCCTGCGAATGAGGATGAAGTGGGACTCAAGATTTAGCTTGAAATTGATCAAGGATTGGTTTTTAAAGAGGAAATTGAAGAAATCAAGACATTTGGGGAGTTTGAGATGTGGGTCTGAGAGAATGAGATGAATCAGTCCGGGGGTGAGCTTGGAAAGAAGAGCAGTGGGGATTGGCCGTGAATTTGAGGAAATTATTGTGGTGATTATGGTGTCACCAATTTTGGATTTGGGGTTCATATATTGGGTTTGAGTTTGATAACCCTTCACAGTTTTGAGGTTTTGGATGAATTTTTGGACTGGCATTGTTGAATTTTGAAAGGAGAAATTGATAGCAGAGTAATTTGAGTTTAATTAATGGATTTCCCTTTTTCTTTTCTTTTGTTTACTTTGGAAATATTTCACGATTGGACCTTAACAAATTGTTTAAATAGCAAATTGGTCCTACTTATTAAAAGGAACAGGTGTTCCATTCGAAAGCCTAGA